GATCACAGGTCTTCTTGTGAATGAACTCATGAAGGAAAATTTCTCATCTGATGTTGAATGCTGCAGACCCCACAGAAAAAATTGCTTCTCTGTTCTTTTTCCCTTCTTTTCAACAAAAGAAGCTTGGGTATAGACCTCAGAACCTTGGAGAGAGTGGCACCTCTGACATGCTGTATGAACCAATTGTTATATGGAGTGTGAACAGAAACCTGTTATCCCCCTTTTGAAGAGGACACATGAATATTTGACCAGCCTTATATTCCTTTGTGCAGAATGGCCAGGCACTTAAAATTTTGTAGTCACCATGGTTCACCGTATCACCAGGTAAGTATGTCAGGTTGTGGGTTTTTTCCCTGTAGACTGGGATCCCACTTTTTGGCACTGGTTCTGATTTGCAGAGCCAGATTACAGAGGAGATATCCACTAGATCTGCTGCATCCAAGTCTCAGTGGAGTTTACTGTCCCAATCCTAATCCATTTCTTCACTGCTGTCCCAGTCCATGTACTAAGGTGGTTCATGATATGTGGATGCTCAGTCAGATATCTGTGATGCTATACTGCTGTGGCACTGAGATACCTTTGTATCAGTGGGAGATAGTGCTCATGTGATGATGTGTATTTGGGAGAAGATCCTCCAAGGTAGCTCCCACAGTCCTATGACATAGGCCTATGCTCTCACAGGTAGTTTATACAGTCTGATCATTCAGGTCTTCTGAGTCCTATGGATCCCCTTGACATTTTGTTTGCTACCTGCTATGATCCTTTAAGGAATAAGAAGAAAGATCATCTTCCAAGTGTGTAATATGTGTGTGTCTGGAAGGAGTGAGTTGGTTCTCTACTAATAATCCTTTAACATCCCTGTGTGTTTCAGAAGAGGAAACTAGCTCATCCAAGGAATCAGAGTTTAGCTCTGGAAGAACAATTGCTTTGGGCTCTTCTCAGGCTTGGTGCAAATACTTTGCCTATTGCCTTGCACTGCCACGACTGCATAGAGAGTGTGTCCTTTGTCATCCAGAGAGAACGGGCTTTGTGGGTGTTTCCCATTTAGTTTCTGAAACAATCTCTCCCCTTGATAAGAAAGGGTTGTCTTCTTCCCCTGATCAGGCTGAGTGCCTGATGTTTAATGATACATAAAGAGCAAGGTAGATATTACATCTATGATCAGTCAGCTCCACAACATACATACTCTGTACAGGAAATCACACAGCTTGTGATTTACAAAGCACAGGCTTCTGAATGGATCTTAACACAGACCTTAGAGTGTACTGTAGATTCTGCAGTATACACTGCAGGTGAATTCTGTCTCAGTATTGCAATGGATTGATTTAAATAGTTCCACTGCCAGCCAAAAATTCTAAGCGCCATAGCACATTTATGAGTTATCCTAACACACAGAAACACCAGTGGTCTAATATATTGGGATGGACTCTTAGATAGCATATAGTATCAATACAAATTAGTGTCTGCCATTATAAACTGCAGGGCCTCAAATACGTTATCCTATTTCTAAAAAAAAAAATAAGCTGGAACTTGGGAAGAGAATTCATCAGACTACTTTGCATTATTAAACTTCCTTCTGTAATGTCTCCACTTTGATCTCTTCTCTGGCCAGATTCAGATCCCAGTTCCTGATTTCCACCAAGGAAAGTATATAGAGAAGCTGGGTGCCTGCACATTTTTTAAAGCTTTGTAGCGTGTTCTTGTGCTCTCAATTCCGGATAATGCTGGATCCCTTTTATCCAGCCCCTCCTCTTGCCCTTTCAAGTGTAAAGAAGACTACTGTGCCCCCCCATCGAAGTTAAAGGGAGGCTTTAGAGAGGAAGGCTCAGCACGCTGGGGCTCTTGAGCCTGTGTTTAATCTCTTTTCCCGTTCCTCTGTGCTTCTGTGGCTTCCCTGCCAGTTTCTTTGTTGCCAAGTTTCTCATTTCCTTTTATTTGTGTGTGCGGGAGGTTGCCAGGCTCACTGGAATGCAACTGAAGTCATCTTGAGGGGACGCGCCTCGGCCCCCGCCCCGGGTGATACATGACCTGCCTCAGCCTGCTCGCCCACCCCGGGCAGGCTGGAGTGGGCTTTCCTGGCTGCAGGCAGCAGGAGAGCCAGGGAGGGCAGCGGGACAGCAGAGGTATCCACTGGCTGCTGGAGCTGGCTCGTGCAGGGTTGGTGTGTTGGATGTCATGCAGGGTGTGAGTAGGATGGAGATCAGGGGAAAAGGGATTGAGAGAGAGCACCTTGACCTCTGGGCTGCTGTCTTGCTTGGAGAAGGAGAGCAGAGACATGTGCAGACTTCACCAGGGTCAGGGGGCCTGGTTCTGTCTCAGTTCCTGCCTAACCTCAGGTGACCTCAATGCAGTGCCCCAACTCCTGCCCTGTTCCACCGAGTGACGCTGGGCTGAAGGTGTGGCCTTTATCTGCATGCTGGGACGTGCTCTCAGGATTAATATGGGCTTCATTAGGCTCACGAAGGAGAGAGCTGGAATCAGACTTCAGGGCCAGACATAGCTCTGAGGAATTCATTGGTCTTAACAAGTGACAATAGAGACTGTGTTCATGCTATTTGCCATCCCTCCATCACGAAGGTACCTTACTAGAAGACCTATATGTCAAGGAACATGGGAAGGGGATGTCCTGGGTGGAATGACATTAAGCTTATCCATGGGCCCTCAGCCTCTGACTGTGTAATGTTGGAGGAATGGCTATCAGCAGATCAGGCACTGTTGTACCCACTATGGGTCTTGTTAATCCAGATGCCAGTGTATGCACTGACTTCTAGGCTTGACCTTGGTTCTGCCTTGTGGTCTGTGATATACTGAAACTAGGAGTCGCTCACTAGAGGAGTTCCCCAATGTAAAGGAGAGCAAAGGTGTGGGATGATTTTGCTTAGGATGGACCTGAAGTGTCTGGAACTGGCAGTTTGCTGTGTAGCAATCTGCAGTCTGCAGTCCTGTTTGGGGCTGTCCCATGGTGCAGTGTTGAGAACATTTAAGTTTTGGTGTTATTTTCTGCTCATGGGCACTGAGAGCAACAGTAATGATTAAGAGCCTTGCTCAAAAGCCTCAAAAAATTCCCCTGTAGCTGTGAGTGGTTCTTGCTGTACTGCACAGACCAGAGCTGTTAGGCTCCTGGACGCTCTGGCTAACAATCAGCATATCACTGCCCGAGTATCTGCCAAATCTCCCTGCTGCTTTGTTCAAGGAGCATTTGTACTGCCATTGTCTCTGTTCCCTTTGGACAGGCCCATGGGGTTGTGCAACTCTGAGTTTGTGCAGCGTCTACCTGGATGTAATTGTTTTGGCTTTGCACCTAGAACAGTCTGTCAGTCCACAACCCCGAAACTCCTGCAGGAGACCTGGAGATTGCATCACATATCAAGGGGAAGACTGACTGATAAATATATTGCAGTGAGCAGAAAAAAGAGTCACTTGTAAATACCCTTCTATGCTTTGTTGTGGTGCTGCTATTTCAACCCAATGGTTTAAGTATCCTCGCAGAGGGGCTTCCACACTTGAATTTTTTTTCAAGATAGTTCCTTGCTGTACATCTGTCAGTTCCTGAATCGCTTTTATGGAGGATTCCTCCAAACTTTCCAAAACTTTTAAAAATGAAAAATGTGTTTTCTTAACTAAGATATTGTGAAGAAAGTTTCTGATAAAGCCACTGTCTTATTCTTGTGTTAGAAACACTTTCAGTCAAGAATATTTCAAGAAGTTTCAGTTTTTGCTATATTCCTTTTCTATTCTGTCTTCTTTTATCAGATCTTTTCATTCTTGATTTTCTTCACCAGGATGACTTGCTATAGGATAGCAGAGCAGAAGGAAAGCACATCATCTAACCCCTCTGATTCTCCCCTGCTGCTGCTTGGCATCCACATATACTGTGTATTGCAAGAGAAAAGCAAGACCTGGAAACAATCTGCTGAGGGTTTCAGATTCTCTCTGTTCCTCTCTTCCAGCCCATTAGGTCAGAAAGAGAATGACTGTCAACAAGTGTTTCATCTGGAACTGTAGTCCTGGGATTTCCTTAGATTTTTACCACAGCTTGAGCTGAAGACTAGTTTCCAACTATCAGTCACTCTTGGCTGAACCTCTATTTTGATTTTTCAGAGCTGACTTCCAGCCCCTGCTCCTTTACAATACCTCGTTTGCACTCATTCAGGGTGTGGTTGGATCAGGCGCCAACTTGGAAGAGGTTCCTACTTGTGCTTGTTACTTTGTCTGGACACAACATGGCCCTAAACTGCAATGCAATTATTCCTTGAAAAGGGAGGAGGTTTTGTAGGGCATTGGCCTGGACCAACTTCTGATCAATATTTTAGAGATTTCAATAATAAAATGAAAACCAACCAGAGAGTAGCAAATTGGAAGAAGGTTGCAAATCCTTTGGAGGACAGGATTGTAACTCAAAATAGCTTGATATGCTGGAGAAATAAACTAAACTTAGGTAACTCAGTAGATGCAAAGGCTCAGTTTACATCTGATTAAGGAATGGGGAAACTAGTGCATTGTCTAGGGGGGAGGGCAGAGCTTAAACTGTGTGGGAGTCACTAATGTTGCACTCTTGCAGTAAGAAAATGTTAGGGTCTGCATTTTATCAATGCTAAGGTCATTGCTGAGACACAAGAGGTCCCAGCAGCTCTCTGGCATAGTGCAATGGAGTCTTATATAGTGCTGAAGGCTGCCATAGGGCTGAAAACCAGGGCCTGTGAGGAAAGGTTAAGGAATTGTTTTATGTGAAAATGGACGAGAAGACTGTGCGGGTAAAAAGCTCTGTTTCCCAGGGTATAAGTGAATGATATCAAGAAGCAGGTAAACAACAATTTTCTCTGCCTGCCTGCTAACAAGCAGAAAGAAACAATCATCCCTAGAATGGAGGGAGGTGATATAATAAAAGCCCTTGCTAACTCATGGAGAATAGAAGCACCAGCAGAGATCACCACGCAGATGCTGGAATCTTGGCTGAAGGTGCTTCAGAATATACCTCAGCCAAGGATGGTCTGTATGCATCTGTCTCAACAGGAATGTAACTGGGTCATTGCATTGCCTTTTTTTCCCACTGCTTTTTCTGCATCCTTTTCATCTGCTTGAAAGCTGACAGAGCAGTGGGAACTTCAAAGGAATTTGTAGTTTGAGGTTTTTCCTTTTCCCTCATGGAAAACCTCCAGAATCAATGAAAACATAGAGCACATGCTACGTATTCCCCCAACAGAAAGCAACGCTAGCAAGCTGTTGGGTACAAAATGCTTTGAAATTTCCTGTTTGGAAGACAACTGATTATCAAACAACTGTTATACCGTGCAACAGAGATCACAGTTCCTCTTTGGTGCTGGAAAAACTAAGGATTAAACAGGCTTCTCCTAGGGGAGGGATCGTTTGGGATAGGTGTCCCCTGCAGAGCTGCAGTACAGTAAGCCCATGATTCTTTCACCAGCCACCAGCTCCTGTGTTCCAGCCCAGGCCATTGGCAGCTCAGAGCTCTCCCCTTCTCCCTGCACCCCTGGAACATGCATGGCTCGTTAACAGCAACCTGGCAATCAGAAGAGCCTGCTATGGCAGCAGCAGCTTTTCCAGAGCTGTCCCACGTGCAGTGCAGGGCAGAGGCTGTTTGCCAAGGTGAGGTGCTCCCAGCAACAGGCTGAGATGGAGCCTGTGGGAGAGAGCATTTGTCCTCACCAAATGCAACCAGCTGGAGCAAACTTTGCTTCCTTGCAAAGTGCTTCCACCTTGCAGTCCTGCCTGCCCAGATACTCACCCTGCTCCCTGATGCATACATATGCAGCCAAGTGCCAGGGAGCAGACAGAGGAAGAGCCATCTGGCTTCTACCAAGCTCATTCCCACGTTGGAGCTGGGGGAGCTGCTGGAACAAAAGATGGCATCACTTGGGAGTGCCTGGACTAGAGAGTTTGTGAGTACTGCAGGAGTCTTAAGCTTGCTTCTTCCACGCTCATTGGCTTCCCAGCAGCAGGTTTCCCAAGCTGCTGCGCTCATGTGTGTTCCCTAGTAGCTGAGCTGTGGTCTCCAGCCACTCTCCCTGTCAGGGGGACTTCTGCTGGACTCATGGAAAACAACATATTTTTCCCCTCCTCAGCCCACACTGCTGCCCTTGTGGTAGGACCATATGGGCCATTCTCATGGCTAGGACACCTAGGACAGCCTTTGACAAGGCTGACAGAGCCAAATCCCGTGGTGCCGGCTGAGATTTTCCTGGCTCAGGTTCTGCTTCGTTCCATGCTAACTCCACACAGCTGGGCTGTGTGGGGCTAGTCACCAGGGAACAGAGGCTGGCAGAGATGAATAGAGGATGTGAACAGTTCCCTTGGTGCCCTTTTCCCTCACTCTTGTTTCCCTCTCAGCAGGGGGAAGCAGTCTCTGCGTGGTCCTCTGCCGATTGCATCGGGGAAAGTCATTAAAAAGAATTAAAAAGGAAACAGAAAGAGACGGAAGACGGGGGAAAAAAACCCAACTAAACAGCCCCAAACAGTTATAAACTCAAACAAAAGAACAACAGGATCTTCCTGCTCAAAGGTCTGGGCCACTCTTACCTTGACGGCAAAGGACAGCAGTACTCCAGCGATTTACTGGGAGAATGGAGGAAAGCCTTGGCTGTATGTCTGCTGGGGCAGTGGTGATATGGGTTGTGGGGCTGGTTGTGGAAGCTGTCATCTGATTGTTCAGATGGGAAAAAATATATATCTACAGAATTAAATTAATTACACAAGGTTGAATCATCCATCTGCTGAAATTGGCAATGGTTCGGTATCTTGGCTTTTGGAGAGGGAATAGTGTGCAAGATACTATCCTGGGGGGCAGTGTCTCTCCTCCATTTTGCTGGGGGGAAGCATCAGCCTCTGTTCGCAACTGCTCTAGCTGGGGAGCAAAAGAATGGGATGGAGCACCTGGTTCCTCCTGTCCTGTCTCCAGGGAGGATTTGAGCTCCAAGGTTATGCAGTTGTGTCTGATCTGGAAAGATCTGGTTTATAATCCAAATACAGTACTATAAAGGTTTCCCCAAAATAGTTGCCTAAATTTTGAGTCTGTATTGAGATACAGAAGTCTGGGCTTTTTTGGATGCCAGCCACTCACGTGTTCTGAATTATGACTGAACATGGCCAGTCATCTTTAAAAGGTTTGATATTTGAGTTCTGGATGAGTGCTTGAAGCCTAGAGCCTGTAAAACACTATGGAGGGCTGTCCCAAGGTCCTCACCATCTCCACTTTCCTCAGCTTCTGCTTCAACACCCGTCTGTACCTGCCTGAACATGTCATGTTAGGACTCTGTGACAAAGACAGAAACTTTAAGATAGCAGTGAGATAATTTTTGCTGCAGTAAGAGTGGCCTGCAGGCTGGGGACAGGGATGGTGATGGGAGAACATCTGAAGATTACTTGAAGAATCTCATTCTGAAGCCCTACGGGCCACACACTTGCCTGGGTCTGACACAGTCACTGGTTCAGGTTCCTCCTCAAACCATCACAGAAACCGCAGCATTTCCCCCGGGTTTATTTCTGCATGCTTCAAATGAGTTGGATTTTCTCACCCAAGTATTGGCCCCAGGAAAGCTCCTGGACCATTTTCCTATTAGCCCTCCTTGCTAGTGTTTTGCTGAGGCAGTTTGTAGCTGCAGATGTTCCTGTGCTTCGGTTACCAAGGCTTAGGCTACAACTGTTGCAGAAATCCTTAATTCTAGCACAGTGGATCCCCGTGAATACGGTAGATATGTTTGTTTATGTCTCACCTAGCATACCACAAGCTGAGACGGAACTCAAAGGGGCTAACACTGGGGAGGTTTGGATCATGTACTGAAATAGGTTTAGCTGCTGTGCAAAGTATGTTTTTCATTAGTGGTGCTTTTAATAGCTTGCATTAGTTTATTTACATGTACATTCTGGCATATACTGCTGTATATTAATAGGGGTCTCCGCATTTATATGATTAGCCGTATTCTTCTAGGTATAACTGTGTCCGTGTTGTTAAAGCTTGAAGGTTTATCTTTATACAGATTACCAGTATTGGGGTAGTGTCGTGTTTCTGGGATGTGCTGAGGTGTGTATTGTTGTGTGCTGGATGCATCCCTCCCTAGGGGTGTTTCTGTGGGGTGTTTTGAGGCATTCACTCTGCTCGTCACCATGGGGACAAGCGGGAGGGGGGCGGGGGGAAAGGAACACAATTTGTATTTCTTAGTGTTGTGTGATTGTGCTCTCACAGTGCCTCAAAGTGAAGGTGCATGAGGAACTACATACCTCTGTCCTGCGTGTTTCTCTGTGACAATAATATGCACGCACACATGCACTTGCACATACAGGCACACACCCTCCAGGCTCCAGGGCGTGTAGGAGAGAGTGTGTGTGTGTGTCTGAATGCTATTTAAATAAAAAAGAAAGGAAGTGAATCAGGGTCGTTTCCATTTTAATTGTAAAACAGATAAGCACTAAACACTTTGAAAAAGTAAATGACTTGAGAATAATTACTATCTATTACTCTGCGTCCCAGGGGGGCAGTTGGAGGAGCCCAGATGGCTACAAAAATGGGATTTAGCAGAAAATTGAAGACATTATTCACCGTAACACATTATCAATTACCTTCATATCAATTACAATAACCTTACATTAGAAGAAGGGCCAGGAGACTATCTTCAGCCCCCAGCCTGAATAGTAATTGCACTACCCCTATGGATGGTGTGTGTATATGTGTGTGTGTGTGTGTGTGTGTGTGTGTTAGAGAGTGGGGGGCACCCCAGGGTTGTGCAGGGGTTCTGGCAGCTCCCACTGCTGGGAGGAGGGGAGGAAGAGGGTGAAAGCTGCCCAGAATAGTTTTTCCTCCCCTTCCTACAGTCACCTCATGGAAGGTTTTCTTCTGTCCTGTTTGTGTGGTCTAATAGCTTGAAGGGCAGCTCATGTGGCTCCTTCCAAAAAATTCTGCTTGGCTTGCCATTTGGGATGTTCAGGGTCTCTGTGCAGACACTGCTGTTTCGCACCAGCGTCCCTTACTTTCCTCTTCCCTCTCTCAGCCATTTCAGCCAAGCTGCTCAGTTTGTTAATAGGGGCTGTTGTGCAATCTGAGGTTCTTTTCTGTATGATCTACCTTTCTTGGTATAGCAATCTGTGCAGGAGGTGGAGGCCCTCTGCCAGACCCAGATGGGGCATCAGCTCGTGTTTCCTGTAAACACTCACAGAGAGATCAACGCAAGACCTTTGATGGCATGCAGAGAGGAACCAACCAAAAACAATTTAAAAAATCTCTCCTCTTCCTTTTCTCCAGAGATGGTGGAAGGTGTCTCAGGGAGAGCAGTACCAAGGCTGCTTCAACAGGCTGGTAGCATGAAGGTAACTCTAAGGACATCTTGTTGCCTGTGGCTGTGTCTTGTTGCCAGCTGGGATAGCCCTTGGAGCTGCTGGTATGTCAGTGCTTCTAACTGTAGCTGGCTAATGCTTCTGGCTTGCCATAGTACCATTTTGAAATTTTCCCTCCTGGATCTGGACTTGATCCAGCTCACCTGAGTATACATGCAACACCCAGACCTAGCTGTTGTGATCCCATTCTCTGCTACAATCCAAACAGGTTTCACTGCCGTGGCATCCTGGCCTGTGCACAAACTTGTGTGTAAGATAAGGATTCGGACACATCAGGGCACTTATGAGTTAAACGGTTGGTGACACTCCCTCTAGTCTCCCCCCTTTCCCAAATATGCACTGGAGTGTCCAGTGGGTTAGTGCAGAGAGGACTAATTGCTATTAAAAGGCTTTAATCTGGGAGATTAGTGCTGGCTCCAGGCGGTGTTTGCACATGAAGGAGATGTTTCCGATGAGATGAACTAGAATTTGTCCCTGCTGTTTTGTTGATAGAAAATCATCTTCCCCTTGGTTTTTTCTCTTTATCTCTGTCTCTCTTGCTTTCTTGCTCTCTCTGATCATTTTCTTTTGCCTTTTCCTTGAAGTTGAGCTGAGAGCTTTTTTATATCTTGGAGTGTCAGTCCTCTTTGACCTTTGGGGTCAGTTGTTTTTGCACATTCGTACAGACATGCATGTGTGCACGCATAGATGTGACTGGAGTTTCCTGATTCAAAGTCCTGCAGGAAATAGATCCTGATCAATAGAAGTGATGATAAATATATTTTTCCCTTGCTTGCTGTTGAGCCTTTTGTGGGTCAGAGGGGCCTGCAGAACCCTTCCTATAACATGAGTCAGGCCAGTCCCCTTCTCCTGGGCAAAGACTTGATCCAGAGACCATCAGGAAGAGGTGTCGCAGACTGAAAATCTTAAAGGTCCCTGCAGAAGTAATTAGTGGGAGGTAATTAAAAGATTATGTATGGGAAGGTATGGAGCATTACTGGACCTCTGGCATGACCCAGGAAATGTCAGTATTGACTTTGATGAACATTAGATCAAACTGAATGGAAATGATTCTGATAACATGCCAGATGTGTCCAGAGAGCCTGTCCATGAAGGAGACATATTTGACCTGGGAACACAGAAATCTTTGTTCTATACTTGCTGGAGGATCCAAAAGCAGAGATGCTTGTTCTGAATTTACTGTTTTCAGAAATCCACGAGTGTCTGTCGGGTCTGACTATCTAGACAGGTAATCCCTGCTGTGCCTAGTGTCCAGTTGGAATTTTCAGAGCACCCTTAGGAAGTTAAGTGCCAATTCCCGTTGAAAAGCACAAAGGAATAAATTCTGTTTACGTGTAACTTGAGTGGAAGGAACCGAAGACTTTGTATCCCAAAGAATATGTGAAAACTTTATCAGAAAAGGAGGACTTGGGTAGAACACAAGGTTGCATGGTCCTTCTGGCCCAGAAGGTTACCAGACAAAAGTTATGAAAGAGAAATGGTAAGAAAGAATGAGTGTCTTCAAATCAGTGAGGCCAAGAATCAAGGGGAGAGTTGGGCAGGGAGAAAAAATTGGTTCAGGATCTGGGTCTTCCAGTCAAAAAGGTCAAGACTTCCTAAGGAAGAAGTGCTTTTATGCAAAGCACTTTTATTCTTCTGTGCACTGTCTGAACACCGTGGGCTTTGCTCTTTTGCAGGATGCTGCTGGAATATTCCATCAGACTGCACCGTCATTATTTTTGCCATAAGTATGTATTTTGAGGAGGTGTAAATGAGGCACTGGGAAAAGAGAGGGGGAAATTAAGTCACCTTTGTATTTCTGGAGGCTGTTTGACTCTCCAAAGGCAACTGTGGAGCCTGTTGCTTGGCAAAGTGGTGTGGTGGTGTGTTGTTCTTTGTTTTTTTTAAAGCATCTGAATCTGATGTGAAATGTCACAGCACCGTCCTTTTAGGACAACCTTTTAGTGGGCTGCAATTTTGTATAAAGGTAGTAATTTCTCACTCTCTTTCTCTCCATGCCCCTGCCTGAAAATCCAGACTGTTACTGTTAGCCAGCAGGAAGGCAGACCTACTGCTCATGTAAATTGCTCTAGTTCTGTTGTTTGCCCTTGTTCCCTCAAGTTTGCAGATAATGCTGGTGTAACCAGCATAAGGATCTGGCCTCTAGCATGTGTTTGTCCCATCTGCTGTCCAGCATGTTAATTTTCATGGAAGACACAAACTTGCACGGACTGTGATTTTAAGGAGGGGCCCTTTTTCTTTTCAGGAGCCAACTGCAAAGCCTCAGGGGCCAGATTCTGAAAGACAGTCAATGCCAAGATCTGGAGGAGCTGGGAACTTGTGTCCTGGCAATTTCTGGCTTGTGGTCCTATACTGACAAGACCATAAGGAAAGAATCATGTGTTAGGCATTTTTGTAAAAACAGTGATGATGTTAAAATTTTGTTGGTAGCAACATTCTTGGGGGACCAGGCTTGCAAAAAAGGGTTCAGTTGAACCCTTGAAAGAGGCCCTGAAAAATCCTCAAGGGGGTTAGAAATAGTGGAAAAGGGAGTATATTTCCACTACCATTGTCAACCAAAGTAAAAATAATGATTTCTCCAAAAAAAAAAACCAAAAAGGAAGAAAAAGTAACAGGTAGAAGTGAAGGGATTTGTTTCTTTGACTGTTTCTCTTTAACACTTTTATTTCAATAGGAGCAGAAATATGTCAGGTGATGGCTCAAGTGATTTCTTCTTCCAAGTATTTGATGCTGAAAATGTTTACAAATATTAATAGACAGGCTTCTTAACATGCCCAGTGGTCTTGTAAGTCTTGTGTTTTGGGTGCAAGACTGTCAATACATGAGATTTTCTAAATTATTAGACATGATGTTAAAAAAAAAAAAAGAAAAGAAAGAAAGGAAAATAAAAGGACCAAACCAAAAAATATAAAGATATTTTGAAAGTGTCCCAAAACTGAAAATTTTTGAGTCCACCTCAAATATTGTTTATTGTGGTTAATGTTTGATAGGATACATTTCTTGATTGTTACTGCCCTTATCCAGTGGCTTATTGTGTATTTGGGTGGTAGTGTTAGTAACTCTTTATTTTTATTACATATTTTATGAAGTTTCTGCAGCTCTTAGAATCACGTAAGGATATGACAATATCAGTGGTCCATTCAGTTTGTTATCTTATCAATGTTTCTGTTCCAAGATGAGCATTAAATCAGAATAAATAGCTTGAGAACTTATTAGAAGCTTAATATTCAGAAGGTACTCAGAATCTATGATATAATTAATTATTTTAATGAATTTCAGTGAAACTTCTGGTTTTAGCAGATATGGCATACCGTTTTTTAATGACTATGTTGAAAATATCACAGATAGGCTTCTGGTCACTTTTAAATGCTCATGGAAACCGATCTTTTATTGTATGTATCTCACTGCATGGTTGGAACCCCAGGGGTCTACATCCAGGGCACTTGGAAGGAGCTGGCCACTCGGTGTTTGGAGAAGTGCTTAGAGCTTTCCATGTGTTGAACCTCTTCAACTATACTGGTAAAACTTCCACTTGACTTCAGAGAAATTTCAGTCACGTCCCACATCCAGGAGTGCAGTCCAGTCATGTACACGACTTGCACAGAAGTACCCCTCAAGACCACGGGAAAGCGTGTTTCTGGGAGGGAAGTGCGCTGATGTGTGGAGTAAGCAGAAGAGATGGTGAATGGTGCAGGACCAAACTGGGAACAAGAGACTTATAGGAGAGATATGTAAAGGACCATTGTAGAAGGTGGATTCCAAAAAATGAAAGACTCTAACACAGGTGTTGGAATTGGACAGCTCCATGGACACAAGGCAGCAGGGAGCTCACTTGGCAACTAACTAATCCCTTTTTTCTGAGCTGGAGCCAACCAAGGATGGAGCTGCCTCTTCTAGCCTGCCAGTGGCCTTAGAAATTTTAAGGAAACCTAAATTAAACCTGGCTTCTGATGGGTGTTTTGCCCTCCCAAATCCAATTAGTCAATCACAACTTTTCACTTAGCTGCAATGACTTTAATTGGATCAGAATAACAGCAGGAAGGATAGAAAATGGCAGGATTTTACTTAGCATGCAGGGTGGAGCCTTGCAGCAAGGATCATCATTATCTCTAGCACAAGCTGTAGAGTTCATCAGAGGTGTAAAAATTCCATGAGCAGACCACATGTATGAAGTATTTTCATCTTCTTATAAGCTGTAAGTATCCACATGGAAAGCTGTAATAGGTGTGGTGGTCCAGCCTACTATTCTCCCGTGTGTGTACTTCAACCAGCAGAACTTGGCTGCATGCAATACCTCCTTTGCACTTGGTGGTGTGAAGGGGCTTTTGGACAAGTGAAAGGCCTGTGAATGTCCTCCAAGTCTTTAAAGCTGAACACAATCTTAGAGCTGGGTAGAACTGAGGCCTTTGGAGAGTGGATTTTTTTTGGACTGCCATTCAAAGGTGTAGGGGCTGTAGTGAAACACAACAGCTCTAAAACATGCATTCCTGTCATGTTAGTGGACCTGGGGTAGCACCACCAGATGAACTTTAATAGCCAAATTCCAGGGTATTAAGACAGTGACAATGCATTAGCACCAGCACAAGACTTGGCAATGACAGAGATGATCTAGCAATGCTACTAATAAGAGCTAAACTTCTTCTGAACAGATGTGTCATTGGCTTGCTCACTGGGATGTGGGAAAGAGGAGACATGGCTGTCATGGCCAACATTTTCCAAGTATAATTTGGAATGAGATTTTGGAAATCAAAATAATACTTTAAAAGATTCCAGCTTAGTGATTTCTTTTTTTTCTGCATTTTACTAATCACAGTTGGTGATGAGCAGCATATGATGAATACAGCAGCAAGCAAAACTTAGAAAAAACATGAGGAGAAAGGCAACTATTTTTCTGCTTTCTGTACAACTTAAGGAACCTCCCTTCTACCAAAGCAAATTTCCTCATGCAGGCCACACTCCATGCATACTGATGCCACTACATATCCAAGGGATGCCTTGCAGCCTCA